CCCAAGCCAAGTCCCTACTGCCTCCCCAATATAAATATATATCCACAATTATAGGCAGGCATATACATATATACATTATGAAATGTAGGGATATGTGGTGATGCGTTTTATATGTCATCTGTATTTTCTTATCTGAGGACTAAGCTTTATTTCTTGATCTGGCATCGCTGATTCCTTAAAAACTTAGCATGAGCTCTAAGCATGGATGAAAGGATGTGTAGAAATGCGGACCTTTTTCCAGATATCATTTTTCTATGAATCCCCAGTCAGTTTTCACTGTCATTCAGGCTGCTTTTTTGTGCCTAGCAGCCTTTATAAACGGGGTCCCAGGAGAGCAACTGGGGGGAGGCGTTGAGTTGAGCAACACGAGGCAATCCTGAAAAGTTGAATTAGCACGTTTTGTTGTTTTGGAGTGGAAAACAACTGGAAAACTTTGCCATCCACCCTGTCCCACTATGAAGAATATCACTTCAAGGCCAATATGGAGAGAAGACTATAACCAATAACTCTGCACGTGAAACACATGTAAAAAATGTCAAACCCTGATGAAAAGTTAGTCCAACAAAGTCTGTCACAGAGGTACATAGTTACAGGTGAGGTAGCAGCAGTAGGTTGAAAAGTGATCTTTTCATTACTGCACGGTCTGTTAAATGGTCTTATGCTGGAGCCTCAGAGACAAATTGAAAAGTGAAGTCACTGAATATAAACAGCATGTAAAACTCATCAGAGTGACAACAGCTGCAGCCACGAGCGCTGTTCTACTCTCATATTATCTGACGCAGCTAACTTTAGAACAAAAACATTTTCATTTTAGTCGCCTCAATCAGCGGTGCTCCTGTGTTCCGTCTGAGTGGTACTCAAGCGCTTCAACTCAGTTGTCTTGCTCTTATCTGGATTTCTAGCTTTCTTTTAATATCTTTGCCACGCCAAGATGTCTTTTTATGCGGGTGAACTGGGACATATTCACTCATGGTGCTTAATCTGTTTTGGCAAGATTAGTTTCACAGCACTTGTATTTTCTAAGGTGGTTCTGACAGTGGGGTTTTTTTTAGCTGTGGTACGAGTTTTAAGATGGGAAACACACCACGGTCTTCACTGTCATTTCTGCAGCCTCATTCCAGGGTTGTGTGGATTAGTGCTACATTGTCGCCTCAAAGAGGGCACAGATGTTGGTGCGCACATGAGGAATATCTGCTGTAGCTAAAAGGAGATAGCGTGCGCGCCGCTTTGGCACTCTGACCTGTATTAATCATTCAGTCGGCGTGCTTCAGAATGCACCTCTTGCACTTAAGCTATTGCAGCCGGTGTGTGGGGCAATGGCCTGTTTAGAGGAAAGTACCTGCTCTTCAGATTGCATTGTCTGCACTGTAAAGGTCTGGGAAGCCGAGGCTGTTGGATCTCATTTCTGCGCTCGTGATGAAACTGCCATGCATGGCTTGCCGGGCGGCGAGAAGGAGGTCCATGGTTCAGTTATACCACATTTGGACCCGCTGAGC